AAAATTAATATTTAATATTTTATAAAGAAATTAACAATTATTTTTAATTTCGCAGGCAAATTTGCCTGCTAGACAATTTAAGGAATAATGTTTCTTTAGTTTTATAGTTTTACTTTATTTTTAATTAGTAATAGAAGTAGTCAATATTTTATTTACTATAAATAAAATAGGAAATTGTGTAGTAAATAAGAAGTTAATCAGAAAGTTAGTTAAGTTTACAGTTAGTTAATAGTTAATTAATTAAAATTAATTGTAAAATTTATATTCTGATAAATTTATGAACAAGTGTTTATTTAGTTTGTTGAATCATATTAATCTACTTATGTTTTATTGATAAACCAAACATTATCCCTATAACATTAATCTGTTAAACTCCTAATCTAAAATCCAATCTATTATTATTACTCTTTATCATATTAAAAGTATTTTATATATTTCCAATTTATATTTATATATTCTCAACATTCCCTGTACTTATAAATTAATATACTATTAATTTAATAGTTTTATTAACATAAATAAGTTCTTAAAATTATTAAGTTAAATCATTATCCTTATTATTCTTTAAATATCTATAATCTTTCTATATGTATTGAAGTCTATTTTTCAGTAGATTCACAAAATAATATTGATTAAAATTGTTTTTTTTAAATTTTTTTATATTTAAAATTAATATTATTTCAACTAATTTGATTTTTATTTTTATTTTAACTTCTAAAATCAAATATTTAAACTTTTGGATTTTCATTTGACTTTATATATAAATAATATACTTTTTTTTAATTATTAATTTTATCACAATTATATTTTTAAATTGATGAAATATTATACTATAAACTTATTATCTAATTCTTAGTAACAATTCTTAGTGATTTTGAAATTGATTTAAGATTTTTTTTTGTTATTCAGCTCAAAAATTTAATTAAATCATTAATGGTTTTTTTTAAAAGAAGATTTGTTATTTTTTTTATTATTATGAAATTAAGCTAAAAAATTTTTGAAAATAAGTTAAAAAATTTTTTTTTCTAATAATAAAAAAAATATTAATTAATAAAGAAATAAAAAATTAAAAAATTTAAAAAAAAAAAAAGTAAGATAATAAAATCATATTATTACTAAATATTTATTATTTTATACAATTAAATCATTATATATTTTAATTATTTAGTTTTGATGCCTTTTTTAATATATCTGATTAGTGTTATTATTTAAAACTAAGATTATATAGTTTAAACTTATTGAAATTTGTTTAATAAAATGTTAAAACTAAGTTTAATTAATAAAATTAATAACTAAACCAATGAAACTAGTTTTATTTTAACCAAATTAATTTTTAGTAGTTTAGAATAATAGTAATTTTATATTTGATTCAATTGATTTAACTAATTTTATCTTTTTTATGATAATTTAAGAATTTTCAGATTTTTCCTCTATTAATTTACTCTTTATAGATTTTTGTATATGATTATTATTATTACTTTCTTTTATTTATAACATCTATAATTTAATTAAGTTTATATAGAAACTTCTTAACTTAATAAAAGTCTAAAAATTAAAAATAAATAAAAAAATTAAAGTTTTTAGTTTGAAAATACTAATCTGATATTTAGTAGAAAAAAACTTCTAATTATTTGTTATTTATTTGAATAATTAAAAATAAAAAATAAAATAAATTTAAGAATTTTCAATTCAAAATAAATTTTTATGAAACTACTTCAATCATTGATTTTTATTGATCAATAAGATCATAAATATCTTTTTGTAAAGCAACTTCATTATATCTTTTTACTATAAATTTGCATCCATAATTTCTTTTTTAGAAATTCTCAATTTATTATAAAAATAATAATGTTCTATAAATCTTATTAATTATATTATAATTATAAATATAAATTAAATATTATTCTTCTTTAATAATCAGGATTGATTTTTTTTAATCAACATAAATGTCTATATAAAAATCAAAAAAATTGCTTTCATGACTTGGTATAAATTGTGTTAAATTAGATTCAAATAATGATTATATGTTAAATTTATCTAATAGAATGATAGAAGATCAGATAAAAATGCTTAATAAATAAGCTCTTGAAAAATCTTATTTTTAATGACTTAATGTTGATCTTGTAGAAATGATTTTTTCTTTATATAGATAGTTATTGTTTTAAGTTTTAAAATAACTAGTCTAGTTATAATAATGTTTGTTAAAAAGAACTTCTAAAAAAAATATATAAATATCTTAGAAATTCAACATTTATGATTTGTTTAGAATTTGGAAATCTATATTTATCTTTATCGAAGTTGATTCCATTTGTAAAAGTAAGATAAAGAATATAAAAATGATTGATAAGATCAATCGATCAATCATAAATTAATATTTATGACCATTGTGTTGAATTTTTTATATTTTATAATAACCAAATATAAATAAATATATAAAAAAAATTTTTTTTTTCATATTTTGCACAGAATCTAGATGGAATATATTTTAAAGTTTGAAAAATCATGTGAATCACGTGAAACATTTATTTTTAAAATCTTTTTTTAAAAAAAAAAAAAAAAAAAAAATCGAGAATTTTCATACAAATAAAACATTAATACTTTGAAGCAAGCTTCAAAAAAAAATAATTACACCTATCAATTTTTTAGTAAATTATTTTTTTTTTAAAAAAAAAAAAATAACCCAAGAAAAAAATGTAAAAAGAAAAAAATGTCCATCAGAGAAATTTAAAATAGCCAAGTTGTTATTGGGGATAGTTACCGAAGTATGTATTATGTAATCGTAAAAAAACTATTAGCCGATTTTCCCATAGCTCACACACCAGACCTATCTCTGACGCAAAAGAGGAAAAAAAAAATGAGAGGGAAATTTGAATTCGATGTTAATTTGACAAACGTTTTCGTTAGATATGATACAAAATGACTTTTAACAACGACATAAATTGAAATTGAAATTGAAATATAAAACAGAAAGTTAAATGTGATAATAGTGTAATATAATGTGACTAAGGTGGATTTAAGAAAGAAAATGTCTTAAAAAAAAGAGTCCATTAAAAAAAAAAAAAATCCAACTCCAAAATAACTCGTTTACCCAATTCTAAATCCATCATTAAAACTCTAAAAACGAAACAATAGTTCATCACTAAAATAAATTCATAATATTCGAAACAGCCCTATTACATCCACCCATAATATTTTTTTTTAGAAATAAAAAAATTAAGTTTTCTCCATATTTTAGAAGTTTAAAAATTGAAAATAGTCCATAAAATTATTTGTAAATATAAAAGACCTATTAAGGTAGTTGTGTGAAAAGAAAAGATTATCCAAAATAATTAATTCTGATTATTTTATTTTTTTCCTTTAACACTTAATTTTTCGTCTTCTTCTTTTCCGGTTCTTCACACTCATCATTATGATCGGAAGGTGCGGGACGTGATTTTGATGAACTATTTTCATGCTTTGCTAATGGTGAAGGCTGATGTTGATAATTATTTCGTGGCGGCCAATGAAAAGCACCAGGCTGAGCACTCGTGGGTGTGTTACCAAATGTAAGAGGACTTGGTAATTCGGTCGTTTTATAAAATTCGGAAAAGAAGGTCGAAGGCGACGGCAAATTCTGCGCAAATTGTGACGGCGGTAATGCCGAGGCAGGACCCGTGTCGGCAGTTGCGGGGGTCGGACGATTCGACGCCATCTTTTAATTTAAGAACAACAAAGGATAAAATACAATACATTAATCATATATACAACATTTCTAAGTTATTAAATCATTAAGAATTACATGGACACTTACGGGTTGCGTTACCGTTGGCTGTTGTGAATCTGATGGTGTCTCGTCCTGTTCTGGAGACTGGTCTTGTTGTTGGGAAGGTTGAGATTGTTGACCCGCTTGACCAGACGGTTTATCTTTGGCGTCCGGAATATGAACGCGAAGTTTTGGCTTTTTTGGAGAAGGTGATATGAGAGGTGATGACACTAGATCTGCAGTAGCAGAAGTCTCGATCTGAGCTGGAGAACCAAGTGACATGGTAACATTGGTTGTAGATATCGGAATTTGCTGTTGTTGAGGAGTTGGCATGGACGTAGGAATATTGTTCATTGGAGGGGCAGATTGAGGTACCTGCATCGGAACCGAAGTCATTGGGAGAGACATTGCAGATACTGAATGCATAGCCTGCGTGACTTGAGTCACCGGTGTATAATATGCTTGGGGCTGTTTTAAGGGGAAAAAAAGGCTTTAGAACGGACGACAATGACACGAAATGGAAGATGCGCAAAACAATTCGCGTCGCATACCATGTACTGTTGTTGCGAAGGTGGTGCGTAAAGGGTGTAATTATTCATGGAATAATTTTGCACCTGAGGCTGTGCATAGGCCTGTCGTAAAGAAGACATATAAATATCACTTTAATATTTGGAGCATATACGTAACGACGTGTTGATTTTTTGATAAAATGCATGAAACAAACCTTAACATCATTTCCGGTATCAAATCCTGGTGGTGGGTTGTCATCGTCATCATGATCTGTTGTTGTGTTGGCAAACTACATCACGTTCAAGGAAAAATATGATTACCACTTGCATCATCATGAATCCATGAAAGTTAACAAAAAAAAAGATTCTTACGTCATGGTTGCCTTTACTTTCATGAGGTTCACTATACTATTAGTGAAAGGAAAGAAGAATTATTTCGGGTGAGAAGGGATCATTAAAAATTAACGGTGCGGTTAAAAAAATTTTTTTAATTATTTCTACCTCGGTGTACTTTAACAATATCTTGTCAATATCAGTACTCGCATATTGTACAAGTTTGTTATTCGAGTTAAAGATAATTAAAGCAATCTCACAATCACACAATACGCTGAGCTCGTAAGCCTTCTTCATGAGGCCATACTTGCGCTTCAAAAAGGTCACCTGATAACGAAAATGGGTCATTACAACGAATTAAAACGAATTCAGCAAACGAATTATACAGCAGCTCAAATGATAACCATTTATCGATGCAAAGGAAAAAAAAACCATTGAGGCGTACCTGTCTGTTTCGTTCGTCTTTGATTGGCTTTATCTGAATTTTCTTGCGACCCATTTTTCTGTTTCGTTAAGGTAAACTGAAAAATAGTTTTGAAAAAGAGAAAATCGTTAAACACAACAGGTTTGTATCAATTAAATTTTATCGTAAGAGGAAAAAAAAAACACGAGAGCTTGAGAGGAAAATTCGAATAAAGTTTGACATTTTGGTGGAATTTTAAAAAATATAGGATTTAAAAAGGGGTACAAGTTGGTTTTATGAGAGGAAGGAAAAGTAGGAACGGTATGGAGGTTAAACCAGCCGACGATAAAAATACTTACTTTTTAGTAGTAGAAGCAAATTTTTTTTTTTTTTTTTTTTTTTTTTTTTGGTATGAAATTAGTAGGTCGAGGTATATTTTTGTTGGTGGACGCGTTTGTGTGAGTTTATTCCTGGTTGTTCTTTTTTTAAAACACCACAAGGATTTGTTTCTATTATAAACTTGATAGATTTTTTAAAAGGATGAAAAAAAAATGCTATGGTGAGATTTTTTGGTAAGAATAGTTCAGAAATAGATAAAAATATCAATAGGTGAAAAAATGTTGTGGGCGGGTAACACTTGAGATGAACAAGTGGACAAGTGGGGCACTCTATTTATGAATATTGTACAAATAAGCTAACTATAGATTGTCAAGTAAAGTATAAAAATATACAGGAGAAAAATATTTATAAATAAGATTTTCGAGGGGGGTCAAAATCCGGTGACCTTTTTCAACCATGCTGCGCGCGACAAAATTTAATCAATTTAATCACACCAAATATGCACCAGGCCTCATTTATCCATGCATAATTTATTGGAGGGAACGAAACAAGTTAGAAACCGGTATCTCTGAACATTGAGTTAAATCTGGGAACGGTGACCTTTTTCCCTAAAGCGGTTTTGGAGACGCCTTTTTATACAAACAAGGCGTTAACCATCCAAACTAAAAAGGAGAACTATAAATATGTATCCTTGTGTTACGTAAGCCAAAAATCCATCATTCTAAACTTAGATTCATTTTAATCATGGTAAAAAAAAGGTCGTATGACACATGACAGGAAATCGAAACGCATTTTAAAACTTATTGCCGAATGTAGAAGTTTTTCATTAAAACGATTCCGCAGCAAGGGAGGGTGAGAGTGAGTTTTAGAGTTTTACAATCAGGAAGCAATGAGAAATTATGCATGTTAATCATGTCAACGTTTTTTTTTCACCATTTTTTTCTTTTCTTTTTTCTTAAACAAAAGGTGTGCATGAATAATGATTTTTTTTATCTCTTTTTCTTCAATCGATGCACGTGGTTGCGCGTCAATACAAACAAAGAAAATATGGGAAACTACCCCCAAGGAGTTTCAAAACAAACAAACCAAGATGGAAGAAAAAGGCAAAAACAATTTGATATTGCAGCCTAATAAATGAGGGGACAAACCCAAAGAAAGGTTTCAAGTGATCTTAACGTTTCTGACGCTTACCTTTGGAGCTCTGCTGCGGCATATCCGGGAGCTTTGATAAAAATCTATAGGGCCAATTTAGTCCAGGTACTAATTAAAAATAGAATTCCGAGTTAATAAGGTTAAATCATCGTTGCCTCATTAACCAATCAGAAGGAAATTCGATTTATTATGGCACATGTGGAATGTCCATGAAATAATCTTCACCTTGCGAAAAAGTACGAAAGATCCATCTTTGGAATTTCATAATTCTACCTTCTCCAAAAAAGTCCAAAGATAATTCATTCAATGAAAGAATTGAATGGTACACAGATTGTTGTTTGATGCTCATTGACACAGATGATGCAGCGTTTTGAACTTAAAAATTTTTTCAAGATAAGCGCGATATATGTAAAGGTTAAAAGATCATCCTTAATCATTCGATTTCTGTATTTCTCATCTCTCCGCAGCAAACCTCTTGTACTACGCGTGTTTTGAATTCTGCATTCCTGCGCCCATCATTTAATTTAGTAGTAGAGAAAAAAAAGAGATTCGGTAATTAATCATGGGCTTTTTACCAAATTTAAAAAGGTAGATGATGAATACGGAATCTCGTTAATCCGTGTTAAAACATCCATTTTTAAAAAAGTGACGCTAGGGAACTTCAATTGGCTTAACCTTTGTATTTTGAAATTTCTACTGGTTTTATGTCTCCTCATCATAAGTCGTGATATTCTCGGATTAGAATTACTATAAAAAGATCCTCCCTTCGGAGAATTTATCTGGAAAGATTACTTCATCCGATTTTCGTTCATCATTTATATAATTTTTCTTGGCAGAAAAAACAATCAAAATAGTTTCATCTATAAAGGAAAAAAAATAAATACGTTTGGTTACCCAAATGTAAGCTTCTAATTAGCGGGAACGAATTAAAAAATTTTTTTTGTTATCGGATTTAATCAATATTTTTTTTAAAAAAAAAGGTATTTTATTTATTTATATTATTTTCATGCAAAATCATTTTTTTTTTTTTTAACCAAATAAATAGATAATTTATGTACACAGCCCGACACCCTCTTTTTTTTTTTGCTGTGATTTTCCAGTTAAAAAAACTTGGCTTAATTACAAAATTTTGATCGTCCAATAGTTTTTGTAACAATTAGTTATGTTTATTGAACGTGATTTTCGTGAAAATCAAAAAATTCTTGGATAATCTTCAATTATTATTTTTTGAAAAAAAAAAAAAAAAAAAAATATGGAAAATAAAGAAGAATCAACTTTTATTAAGCTATCAACTGAAGTATTTCCTGAACAAAGTAGTAGCGAGGGAGAAGATAGTTCAGACGAAGAATACTATAAAGTAAATGAGGAGATCGAAGGAGACACACCAACCATTTCGTTAAATATCGATAATGAGAAAACGTTAAAGAAGAGATTAGATGCTGTTGTCAAGGATAAGGTTTTAACAAGTTTATTTAACCATGAATATATTAATGGGATTTAACAAGTATACCTTTTTGAGTAGGGAGAAAAAATGAAACGAGGTGTTATATATCTTGGTAGAATTCCACACGGATTTTATGAAGAACAGATGCAATCATATTTTAGTCAATTTGGTACTATTACCAGATTAAAATTATACAGGAGTAAAAAGGTTAATCAGACATTATTGAATTACTTTTCTTCTTATAATCATTAGCTTATTTTTTTTAATATATATATATATATCTATATATTTTAAAAAAAAATTGTTAGACCGGGAAGTCAAAACATTACGCATTTATTGAATTTGCATCTGATGAAGTTGCGGAAATAGTAGCTGAAACGATGCACAATTATTCTTTATCTAATCGACTTCTTCAATGTAAGTTCCTTTTCAAGAAAAAGAAAAAAATCACATCAATATTAATGAAATTGAACCGACTTCTATTATGTCAATTAGGTAAAGTAGTACCTGAAGAAAAAATAAATCCACGTATGTGGATAGGAGCGAATAAAGTATATAAACCAGAATCATATCTTAAAGTAGAATTAAAAAAACGCACTAAAAAAAAATCATTAAAACGAGCTGAACAACAAATTCAAAACTTGGTTAAAAATGAAAAATTGAAACGAAAAAGGTTACAAGATTTGGGAATAGATTATGATTTTCCCGGTTATGTAAGTAATTTAAGTAAACACTCTCGATTACTTATAATTTAAATTAATTTCATCATTCCGATAAATTGTTGTATAGGTTGCAAGTGTTAAACCAAAAGCTAAACACATCAAATTTGAAAATTCCGATTGAAATTATTTTATATTGGAAATTTAAAATTTTTATTTTTAAATTAACAGTTTAAAAAAATTATTTGAAGAGACATTTAGTAGTGACAAAAATGCATTCTATCACAAAATGAATTAATATAAGTATATCATATGCTATATTATCAATACAAAGCAAATACATCGTTACAAAAATAAAACAAGTTTTTGGGTACATGCTAGTGTTGCTAAATTAAAATGATATTTTTTTGAATCTAGGTATATGAAAAACAATAAAAAACCAAGTAGTAATACATAATGATATTACTGTCTCGTGAGGGATGGATGATATAAAGAATTACTTTTCTTTTTCTTTTTTTTTTTTTGAAGAATTTTTGTTTTTAAAATCTCATATAAATATATATATATATATATATTTCTAATGAACCAATTGTCTTTTAAATTTTTGGGGTCAAGCAATTTCTTCCTTACCCCATCAGTCGGTCCAATACATTTTCAAACCCTTGTCGTCCTTGTACTGAATTGTCCCTGAATCGTTGAATGAAGAAATTTTCAATATATCCGGCGAATTTGGAGATTGATTCACCACATTTGATTCTTGCCTCCTGTTTAAATAATGTCCTAATGAAAGAAAAAGTGATTAGTTAGAAAGATTATACAAAAATGCAAAAGATTCATTTAATAAAGCTTGTTTTATCAGAAAAACAATTTTTTAGTACCTAGATGAATTCGTTGGGTCTACGGTATAAGTTACAGTTTCAGTGACATTAATCAAATGGTTCATTGATAAATTGCAGCTGGTCATCTTCAACACCTTATTTTGAGGGTCAATTTCGCTTACTTCTCTAGAATAAGTTACAGTACAGCCACCACACAACTTGTTTAACATTCCCGGTATATTTTGATGGCACGTTATTAATCGCTCGGTTCGAAGTACACCAGTTTCGGGATCAACATGCCGGTCCAACACATCAATGGCGACAACATGTGGGCAATTATCATTTGGATATTTTCGCCAGTTTGCTGCTGAAACTTGAGACCATTTATAAAAAAAGGTATGTGTGGCTTCAAAGAGTTTCATGTTGAATGTAATATGTGGAAAAAGAAAGTTATCCTTAGAATTTCCTTAAAAGACAGTCTAAAAGAAAAAAAAAGAAGCATGATTAATTTTCACTATCAATTATACTTGGTATTAAGATCCTTTATACTTACAGCTTTGAGAGGACGCTACACTTTGCGATGACCAAAATTTCTTCACTTTTGCTCCTTAATTTGGTAAAAAAAAAAAGAAAAGAAAGAAAAGAAAAGAAAAGAAAAAAGAAGAAAAAAAAAAAAAAGAGCAAAAAGGCACGAGAAAGGAATGTGAAAAAAGATTTACAAAATTTTTTAATATATGGATTTTTTTTGATCAAATTTAATCAATGGTGATTATTCATCAAATAATGATAAGATGTGTAAGTACCAGATTTACTTTATTTCACATGTGGCGATCGTATGGCTTTATTAAATTTCATGATCAACGCGTCAAATTTGGATCTTTGTCACAGCAGATCTTGATTTTTATCAAAGCATGAATAATATTATACCTTCGAAGAAACGAGAACATCCTGTCGAATTAGAAATAGATCAGTTGGTTACAGAACGAGCCAAAAAACGTTATGTCTCGGAGTTCTTGTCCTCCGAGTTGACTGCTTTGTCTTTACATGGCGGCCTTGAGAGCGGAGGTTAGACCTTTTATCATGCTTTTTTTTGATTCTAGCAATTCTACTTAGTGAAAATTTCTTCCCCCGTTTTTTTTTTAAAAATAAAAGGTCTGTCTAATAATAATAGTGTTGAACAAGAAGAAAATGGTACAATGGAATTAGACAGTGATCACGAATCTCAAGTATCGCAAGGAAAAAAAATCACAACTTCTTTTACAAGACGAAAGCATGTGGTCATGGTTACAGATCTCGACGCAGAAACGGATTCAGAACAAAGTGAAGAAGAAAAAACCACCTCTTTTGAGATTCCAATTGAGATTCGAAAATCATTGAAGAAGATACCAAAAGAATTGTTGGTTCCGAGGACGTGCGCATTTTTAATGGATAATCTTTAAATAATGTGTTGGTAATGTGTGTCTACATAACATTGAATTTGGTACTATTTTGCTAAATGAAACGAAAAACTTATTCTGCAGGGAAAATCCAGTACGGGCATTAGTTTTATATCAACGACCTCCTTGGTTACCCCAAGATTCTTTTATACATGTAATAATTTAATTTATTTATTTATTTTCATTCGCTTTTATTTATTTAATTTTTTTTTAAAATATTAATATAATTATGAACTTTAGGGAAACAAATCGCGGATTAAAGAGATGGTTCATGAGCGACGAATTAGTGATATAATGGAGAACGGTAAACTTTCGCCAATTCCTGAAGATCCAACATCTCCTGTTGTTGAAATGGAAATGGATTTAGATGCGAGTTTGGAATGTGAAATTAACAAAAATTATGAAGCATATTCGGCCGAAGACGACGAAAACGTAATGGAATTGTGAGATATTACGACAAAGATCCTAGGTAAATTTACATGGTTTACTTATACATAATTTTTATATTTTTATGAGATGCTAGACACTTTTTGTATTGTTATTTTTATTTAACATTTACATAGTATTCATTGTTTCATTATAAGAAATAAATGATATTATTATTTGGTAAATATGAACTGTGCTTAAATGTCACAATTTGATATTTTGAGGCGTGCAAGCATCAGGAATTATGGAGGTTAAAAATTTTATACGCTATAATATTACAACATAGCAAGAACTTAATCACATGTACTGTAAAATTAAAGTTTTATTTTGTCATTCTTTTTCCATATTTTTCTCTTAAACTCATGCCGTTTTCTTCCATGTTAGGTATTTGACTTTCATTCGCTTTTATTGGATGATTCCTTACCTATTTAATTCTGGTTTTTACTTTTACAATCCTTTATTTTTTTGAATAATCTTCAGATTAATAATATCATACAATAATTTATTTGCTTCACTTAATTTTGATTATCCTTTAATCGGTTGGTTGTTTTAATATTCGATTAGATTTATTATATATAGTTTAGTTATTGGCGTTTTATTGTTCCTTCATTCTAGTTTGTCTTTTCTAGCATACCTTATTTGTTCTATAGTTGCTATTACCTATAACTAAAGTCAGAAACTGTTTAATACATATTTAAAGATTTTTATGGTCGTCCTTAATTTGTGAATTTGGGATAATTTGTTGGCAGTTCAAACGATGGCCCAAGAAAACCAAATAAAATCCGTTTACTAAGTCTTCAAGCAACATTTGTCCATATGTTTCGGCAACTTGTAAAAATAGCACTTTTGCTATTTAGCTTGGTCATCCGTTAAGTTCAATTTTAACATGCAATTTAGTATGGACTGATTAACTCGTGGATCGACAACGGTCTCCAATCGCTTTTGTAGGATTCGTACGCACAGCGAATTCCCATTCTTCAAGATAAACACTCGAGGAACTTAAAAATCGAATATCACACTTTCGCTCTTTTTCAAAATTTTCTGGTCTGCTCAATATAAAATTTATATGCCCTGTTTGGGTCATTTCGAGCCATAAAACGAAATTGTGTAAATTATACATTGTAAACAAATAATTCTATAATAAATGCCTTTTCCACTTCAGTAATAAAAATATTACCAACATCTTCCAGGTCAGGAACTTTAAGGATGGTTTTGTAATCTTCTTTCATGAATTCAAATTTTTCAATCCTGCATATGGGCTGAAAGGTCAATTAATCTTGACACAGAATATCTCAATGTTGCTCTTTCTATTGCTGTTAATGTTTCCCTGCCCTTTGTAGATTTTGCAAGCTGCGAAACAATTTTGTTAAAAATATCCTTAACGTCTTGCTGGTGCGCATTTTACAACATTATCCAATGGAGGAATGTCTTCTTCTTCCTCTTCCACTAATGATCCTCATCATTTCTAGCGGTGAAGTCTGGTTGTGGCGGTGGAACATTACCTGCATGTGTCTTTTGCTGAAATAAAAAGAAAATCAGAAAGATCATTAATCTCAAACTATGCATTCTCGGCAATAAACGTCGTCACGAAAGCGATAGTAATCGTTTATCTCATTCTGTTTTAGAGTGGTCTGGTCGTCCTAAAAAATTAAAATACAATATGATTCGTCTCAACTATATAAAAAAAAGTCCATCGGTACCTTTTTTGTTCCTAAAGTTATATGGGACCTTTGCAATAGAAAGGGAACATATTTCAGCCTAAAAATCATATTTGGCATATAAAAGTAAAATTGATTTTTCCCGGCAGTTTCCCCTTTCTATTGTAAAGGCCCCATATTGTCACCCATGATTTGAGTCGAATTATTTCCAGCGAACTGCTTTATCTTCTTTACGTTAAAATTCCCTATATTCATGGAACTGGAACGCTTCTTGTTTTCCTTTGTGCAGATCAATTCTTTTAAAAAACGCAAATTTAACAATAATGCAAAAAAAAGTTTTCAATGAAAAATATAAAGCAAAAGAAGTGCTGAATAAATAACTATCCTTTAGACTAGCAGGCCAAGCTTGCACTAAGCGTCAAACGAGCAGTTCATCACTGAGACTAGCAGACCCAGCTTACGCTAAGTGTCGAACAAGCAGTTCATCACTGTTGGACTAATCTATTAACTCTTTCAAATCTCTATCTCACTAATAAACGTACCTGCCAATCGTCAAGAATCTCTTGGGCCTTTTTTTTTTTTGCGTTATCTCAAAATCAGAATTTGTATTTGTTGCCTCTAAGATCTTTTTTTATTCTATCCATTATTTTCTGCAGATTCTTTTGCTCCGAATTATCCCGATAACATTCTGTCATACTAAACGCACGACCAGTTTTCGAACGCAAATCATTGAAAAATGCTTTGAGTGTAGATATCGGTTTTGTAGTCATGTTTGATCCCAATCATTTTTTCTGAATTATTTTTTATGATACTGCGCCTATTATACGCATGAATCGCGTGATGGTGATCAGAGATTTTCTCGGCGAAGATCAAAGTGGCGATATATAAACAAGAAGAGTAATATGTCCGTTTTGTTTTGGAATATCTATAGAGGCGGGAAAATCGATTAACACCGTGATGACATGTTTTAAACCATCCTACCTTATTACCACTTTTGTGGAATATACACGTTTTGATTGTAAATATCGATTAGCTTCGTTTGATTTTTTATTTTACTTGTACGGGGCAGATAAAAAGCTTACTAACTAAGGCATCACCATTTTATATAGTTTAAAGAATGTTAATAAGACCGCATCACGAAAATCAGATCAACTCGCATTTTAAGCGCAGTATATTCTATATTGCAATTTATACACGTAAAATAATTAAATGCATTCACAAATTTAAAACCAATCAAATTCTTTATTCTATTTTTGTAAAATAATACGTGAGACGGCTAAGTAAAAAATGAAACTAATAAAAGATATTGGAGTAGCAAGATGTTTCAAGGGAGGAATAAACCTGCCGAGCCCTAACCCATATATTGGCTTTTCCTTCCCTACTACTCAATAGTGGTTTATATGTCTGTAAAATATCCGAGCACCTATCTTTTCTAAGTTTCCGCTCTTTATATTTTACCCATGATAAAAACCCTTTATTGTATCTTTCCCAATTACTCCCAGTCCAAGTCTAAGAATATCAATCGATACAACAGCACACATCTGATCTAAAGAATAATTATTCGAACCCTTAACCCTATCAAAGATATCCAAAACTGCTCCCGGATTACAGAAATGTTATTTGCGAATTTTTAGCTCGAGCCTGCAATCAAAAAATGTTACCCTAATATGCATAGTACAATTATCAAAAATTATTTCTTATCAGAACCAGAAAGAAGTTCCAGAAGAAGATCGAGAAGAAGTTGAAGTTGAAGCTGAATCATTGGTCACACTATAGTTGCCTGACAAAACCTATTTTGGATTTGTCGAAACGTCTAAACCTCTAGTTTCGACAGATTTTTAATAAGTCCATAATATATTTTCGACTGTTTGATATAGCTTGCCAGGTTTCGTGTGATGATATTGAGTGATGCATTCATCTCTGAAGAAAAGGCATTATCACGTGCTTTAATTTCATTCTTAATTTTGCTAATCTCTAGTGGATATTTCAATACACGTAAGGAAAGTTTATTGGCGACTTTAGTATCCATTTTTGCACTGATTTCATGCTTAATTCTGCTAAACCCTGCATTGACTTCTTTGTTAAGTTTATCATTAAGTTCACTATTAATTTTGCTGAACTTCACAGTAAAAGTAGAATTGACTTCAGAAAGACATGCGAAAAGTTCATTGGTGATTTTAGCATAAATTTCTATGATAAGTTTACTAAAGGTGTTTACAGTTTCCAGTATATTATTAAAATTCGAGTGACACATGCAGAGTGGATCAATGAACAAAAAACAGCGCTTAAGATCAAAAAAGATATGACCTCCAAAGAGTTGAACAATGACAAACTGAATATAATTAGGTAAATTAATGCATAGTAATTTTATTAAAAGATTTTATTAGTAAATCAAGTTTTTTTAGATATTAACAATTGATTTTTTTTAACAATTCCTCTTGCATAAATATGCTAGGAAAAGTTTTATTTTATATTGTATGTCTACTATGTATGAAAAAAAATTTAACCTGATTTAATAAAAATTATGTCATAACTACATTTTTCATAATTATCCCTTAGATTGTCTAGCAGGCAAATTTGCCTGCAAAATTAAAAAAAATTGTTAAAATCATTGTTAATAAAATTGATAAAAAATATATTAAATTATATTTTTTATATAGTAATAATATTACTAAAATTAATATTTTATATTTTATAAAGAAATTAAGTTTTTTAAAAGGTTTTTAAAATAATTTAATTATAAAATTAAGTTTCAAAAAATTTATTATAATAATTTTTTAAAAATTCTTTAAAATTTTATATGTTTGTGTATTAATTAAATCACTTTATCATTAATTAAAGTTATAAAATTTCTTAATAAATTATAAAAATTATAACCATAAAGTTTTTCTTTATAAGTAATTTTATAATATTCTATTATGATTAATATAGTTAAAAGTAAATTTTACAAAGTTTATCATAGATTAATCATGAAATTTTTTAAAATAATTTTTTTTTAAAAATTACAAATTTTTAGTTTCTAAGTAATATTACATTTTTTATTATATAATTAAAAGATAAAACATATTATAATATATTATATATTTATATAATTAATTTAAAAAAAATTTTTTTTAAAATATTAATTATTTATAAAAGTAAATCAAAAAAGAATTTATAGTAAATAAGCAGGCAAATTTGCCTGCAAAACTCTACAATCTAAGGGATAAGAATTAATTCAAATATATAATACTAATTAAATCTACTATAGTATCTCTTTATATATTCATTTAGATCTTCTTTAATTTTTAAGGATTCCACATTTTTTTTAATCTTTTTACATCCTTTCTAAAGTATTATGTTAAGAAATATAATCTTTCATTTTTTTCTCTAGTATTCTATTTTCTTTAAAAAAACATTATATATCTTTATATTTGGAAAAAGCTGCAATTAATGCAATTTATGAAGAATTCTAAGTTTAAAATAAAGGATTTCATTTTTTATTTATCTCAAAATATCTATTGTAAAGTACTGAATTTTGGTTTTACTATTCAATATAAAACTAATAAAAATTTTAGTTTATTAATTAGGCACATATCTGCATTCTGCATTTGCTTTTTACATTCAGATAATATTTTTAATATATTTAATAAATTAAAAATTAATATGTCAGAAGAAACAAATAATTATCCAAAGCATAGTGGAAGATATTTTACTTTTAAGTTATTTAAATGCAAGGTCATTCTGTTCGTCCAAATTTAGCAAGTCTGATAGACCAATAACATTTTGTTTATGTTATCATGTGTTATGTCTTTTGTGTTACAAAATAATTAATTATGTGAAATATAATATTATAATTTATATACTATGCTTTGAACTTTGAACAGATCCCATTTCCTAGTATTATAGATTTATAGTTATGTTTATATTATAAAATTATTAACGAAATACAAAAAGAATAAAGTCAAGTTTAGCTTAATATAAAATCAATTTTGTGAGGAACACTATGACTTTTATAAAAAAAAGACTGTAATTATAAAGATCAAATTTAAAAAGTATACAATATTTATAAATATAAGTTATTTATGGATTTTTTATAAGAAATTATTCACAATCTTTCATTTTAACAGAGTTCGTATCCTTTATCCGTTAAAAACAGATATCAAACGAATATTCGAATATTCGGATTGGATAGATACAAAATTTTGGATATCCGAATAATCCAACGGATATCCAGAAAATACCCGAATATCTGTATTATTTAAAGGATATCCGGATATATCCAGATATGGTTTGTGATCAGCTTGCACAAGCTTTTATTATAAATTGCCGATTTAATAAAAAAAACTGAATTTTTTTATACTGAAATAAAAAGTATTCGTAAAACAAAAATGCTATAAAGTAATTTTAAAGCATATATACGCCCAATGAATACGATAAGTTTATTTTAACTTGCAACAATTGGTAATTTTTTCACACAAAAAAAAAAATAATACAAACAAAATAATATGAGTAGGCACGAATCACGAGAGCTACGCAGTAATAAAAAAAATAAAGAGATCTCTAAAACAAAAGAAGCAACAACAACAAAAAAGCAATAAAAACAAAAAAGAAAGTTAAAAAAACAAGAAAATCAAAAACTGAAATGGAACTTGTATCACAAGA